TAGCATTACAACGTCAGCTACCTCCAGCTGGTGGTTAGTTGGTTGGTGAATTGGTAGTTGGCTGGTACTTTTGTTTAGTTTGCAAGCTAATGTTGAAAGCTGTCTGCTATCGTTAGCTTGTTTGGTTCAGTAACTGGCTGACAACTTGTTAGCTAGATGGTTAGTAAATGGGTAGCTGGCTAGTACAGTTAGCATGTTACGTAGCAGACAGAAAAGATGATACCTTGCTCTTTTCTATAATTCACTTGTAGTTTCATCGGTAGCTGGCTGGTAAGATTATCTTGTTAGCTTACCCCAATATTAGTTAGGAAATTAGTCTGTAGCTGGTAACATTAGCTTGTCAATTAGACCATAACTGGCATAACTGGTAATTTTACCTTGTTTATATGTCAGTGACTAGTAGCATTAGCTTGTGACTAACCCTAGGTGTTTAGTTAGTTGGCTGCAGATATTAGATAACTAATTAGACAGTAGTTGGTAGCATTAGCTTGTTAATTGGCCAGGAGCTGGTAGCTTTAGCTTGTTGATTCAACAGTAGTTGCTAACATTGGCTTGTTAATTAGCGTGTATCTCGTGTCATTAACTCACTAATTAGTGAGTAGCTGGTAACATTACAGTGTCAGCTACCTCCTGCTGGTTGGTTACCTGTCGGCTAATATTACCTTGCTAATTAGTCAGTGGCTAGTGACATTAGCTTGTTAGCAAAACCTCAGCTGATTAATTGATTGGCTGCTGTTAGCTTGTTAAGTTGGTAACATTAGCTTGTTAGTTAGTTACCTAGCTGTGACATCTCCATGCTAACTGTGTGCTAGTGAGTAGAAACAACATTAGCCGGCGGTTTTAAGCTAGCGGTCGAGGCGCTGTTGCCATGGTAACCTGCGGGTTAAACCGCTGCCGTGGATTCTGAGTGAAACCGGAACCAAAGAAGAACTGCAGTAAATACAGAACGAACCAGATGTTCTCAGAGTTCCTGGGCAGCAGAACTCAGCGATGAGAGTTTCTGCGGCCACACGTGGCTTCTTGTTGTGGATCCTGGAAGCCGCCGGTCAGAGGCTCGGGTCGGAACCGACACAGTTCGGTTAAAGTGGACCAGAGAGCTGCAGCCTTCAGTCAGTCCGTCAGTCAGCTGTCCGTCCGTCAGTCCGATAAGAGCCAGAAACGAACCTTACCGTCGCTCAGCTGCTTCTTCTTCTGCTTCTTGTCCCGCAGCAGGAACATCTGCTGGTCCTGGAAACGTGTCTTTGTCCTGCCCCGAGTCAAACATCCCAAAATACAGGCCGGGGCTCACGTTTCACTGCGGTTCGGCCGCACAGACTGACGCCCAGCCGGAGCTCCACATCTGGAGGAGGACGGGCCTCGGTCCGCCTCGGTCCGCCTCCCAGCGGCCCTGTGG